CCCTTTGCATCGGCAGGCTCCTTGCAGTCTCTTCGTCATTTCTGGTCGTCAGTATCTAAAATTTAGAGACATTTAGTGGCAGGTCCCATTTTTCGGCCCATCTTTGTACTACCTTTATGTCCCTTGCTAGATCCCATCCAGCTATCTTGACGTCATCTGCAAACAGAAAACAGGGATTTTGGAGATACCGCGCTAGGTCGGTAATGTATAGCAGGAACATCAGTGGTCCAAGTAAGGGTCCTTGGGGTACGCCGCTTGTGACCCCTTTCTCCTCGGAAGTGTGAGCTCCTACTTTGACACTAAACGTCCGCTGTGCAAGAAAGCCCATTATCCAGCTCCTGACTTGCCCATCTAATCGCAATAATCGCATCTTATGATCTAACAGATGGTGGCTGACGGAGTCGAACGCCATCTGGAAGTCCAAATAGCATACCTCCACCCGTAGGCCCTCATCAATTCTACGTGTGACCTCATCTAGGAACACCAGCAGATTTGTCGGACAGGATCTCTTTTCAAGAAATCCGTGCTGAGCTGATATCAACAGTCCGCTATTGACCATGTAGTGGTATATTTGTCTTCTAACTAGGCGCTCTAAACACTTACATATTACTGATGCCAAACTTAGGGGTCTTTAATTCTCGGCTTTCTGCCGGGATCCAGACTTGTGTATTGCCACTACTGTGGCTTTGCGCCGGTTGTTCGGGACAGTTCCCAGTCTAAGCGACTCTTGAAATAACTCGAAGATCGGCCCTACTATGACGTCAGTCAGCGGTTGCATAATTGCTGGGTGAATTCCGTCAGGCCCAGCCGACTTGAATCTATTTAGCCCTGCCAACTCCCGCTGCACATCCTGAATTTCCACAATTATTGGGGCATCGTGCAGTTACCTTCAATTTATGGAAGGTTATCTGTCACCCTGGGGATCCTGTACTTGCTTTTGAAGAACCGTAACAGGATGCGTGCTGTATCACCTTCATTCACTGCTTACTCTCCGGTCGACGATTCCAGAGTACCAACCGTTTCCCGAGTGTTGTGCTTAGATTGAACATACGCTTTAAAGCACTTAGGATTTCGCTTGATGTCTTGTGCCAAGTTTCTCTCAAATTGGTATTTGGCCTCTCTTTGCGTGCTTGTTTGTAACCATTCCACGACTGATGGGTGCCATATGTTTACGGACCGTCCACCGTATTCTACGAATGTTTATAGCCCTATCTATATTTGCTTTCCACCAGGGAGGCCGTTGCTTCTTTCCTAACGGAACCAAAGGTGCGAACTTATCCGTAAGTAGGAGAAGTCCTGTCTTTATATGGCTCCATCTGGTTTCCAGAGATGCATCGTCTGGGTTGGGTATCCAGTTTATATCCTGCGGCGCTCTGGCCAGTTCTTCTTGGTTGATTTTACCATATTGCTTCCCTAGTTTGGCAGCTGGTTTGTTGTGTCTGCTTTCTAGCGTTAGTCGCAAGACCACATGATCACCTTTCTCTCGGGGCTCCTCTTGGATTATTGTCCTTATGTCTCCAGGGGTTCTGGTGATCACCAGATCCAGTATGGACAGCCTGTCATTTGCCCTAAAACGGGTGGCTTGAAGCATATGTTGTGTTAATGAGTGCTGATGTAGCCACTCTAAAAGCAGTCCACCCCCGGTACCTGCTGGTGCTCTGTCTCTACTCCAGTTGATCTCGGGCATGTGGAAGTCTCCTACTAACAACACCCTTCTGGAAATGGCAAGGAATAATTGCAGCTGAGCAATCAATTCCTGATCTTCTGTCTCAGTCGCCTGCGGATCCCGGTAGACGCACATGATGGCTAATGCGTTACTATTTATTTTAAATACGCAACTGATGGTTTGTATGTTGGGAGTCGCTAGGGCTGCTACTGCCTCCCACTGCGTGTGATCTGATTTTATCATTATCACAACCCCGCCTCCTTGCCTGCCATCCACCCTTTTTTGTCTACAAATCGTGTAGCCATCCATCCCCCGAGTGATGTGGTGCTTCCGCATCCAGGATTCAGTTATTGCCACTATGTCTATACCTGGGGTGCGCCTTCGCATCTCTCCCCACTTATCCCGTATACTGCAAGCATTGGTGTACCACAGTGAGACTGTGTCTGCTAGCGCCTAACTGCTGGGTCGGAAGCTTATTTCTAGAGGATCCTCGAACGTAATGCCCGAGGGATTACACCGTTTTTGTGGGTGGGGGTCGCGGATGTGGTCGTGGCTTCTTCGGCTTCCCAAGCCATTCCAATTTTCCCCCTGAAAATGACATTTATCGTCATTCCAAAAGCCTCCTCTACGCCCAAAGGTACATCCTCCTTCACTTTTGGAGTAGTTAATCTCCGTTGTAGTGGGGGAGCTGGGAACTTAGCAGCTATTGGCAAATTCGCTACTATCGTCGCCCATGTGGCTGGTTCCTCACAGCACTCCGTGGTTTCCTTCTCCAGGCTGGTAGCCGCAACCAAGTTCTTTGGTTGCGGTGCTCTGTCGTATGTTCGTGGAGGGTTTGAGCTCAACTTGCGGACCACGGCATTGCCCTCTTTAGCCCTCTTTTGTGGGCCCATGCGGTACCTTCCGTGATACCTTCGGTGTGGATCCGCTAAAACGCTCTCCAGTCCTCGGTACGCAAAACACTACGTCTTTGGTTTGGTGAACGCCAACATTAATCCCCCTTCTAACTGGATGTATCAATCTGATCGGTCTGCAGCGGTTCGTCCACCGACAGTTTCGCAACGGCAGTTTCATTAATGGATCCATTGAAGCTGGACGTGATCATCAAATCACGTACCAGAAGTACTTTCACCCTACGCTGGTGACTAACAGTAGGATACGTTCAGTTTCTAACCAGTCCTGTATAATTGAGGACTATCAAGGCATGGTACATAGCCATGGAATACTTATCAGAACCATTAAGGTTCAGAAATCAAATAGCGACTTAGCTTATCGATCAGGTAGCGAAAACACCGTCAGGTTTTTCCCTTCTTCCTTTAAGGACCCTTATTCACCGAACACAATCAAATGTACCGTCGAGATTTAGCATTCATCGCCATTAGTTGGCGATAGCTATACTCTGAGGAAAGTTCCTCTATTGGATAAAGCAACCTGGACATTTCTAGGATTAAGTTTTGCTTTAACTATTAGCGTTCTTATAATGAACTCGAAAAGCATGCACCGACACAATTCCTCACGGTGAGCTCTGTATCTCACGCTTTCGTTGAATTGATCAGATCTACTTTCAGGTTTCCGCTGCCGTTGCCTGAATATCAGCCTAGGCCTAGCTAAATCTACTTCCAACCTTTCTGAAGATCTCAGAATATATCGTTTTC